CTTCCTGCCATCCGTCATCACCCTCCATCTGGAAGCCACCCTCCTTCCTCAGCGGAGCTGCTCTGTGATGGTCCGTGGGAGAACCCACGAAGCTGGTTTCTGCAGCGATGGGAAGAAGACTGACAGAAGCAGTGCTCTTTAGAGACACCCTATTTAGTTAACGTCTATATTTTTAATTACTGTCAGTTTCCTAGACTGTTTAATGAGAAAGTGTGTGGCAGCTCTATTGCCTTAGACAGACCCAGGGCTCTCCAATGGGTTCCCAAGCTGATGACAGCCAGCATTCAGCACATCTGGAAAGGGCATGGGAGTAGTACGGAAGGAGAGAGACCTGCTCAAACTGCCAAGCCACGTAGATTAACTATGGAAGAACTCAGAAGTTAAATAGCTGGACATCACCCAGACCACAATGATTTCTTTGAGCAAGGTGGGCAAATGAAAATGAAAATTTAGCATAAAGCACTACATCTTTCATCCTTTCACTCAGTTAAAGGATAAAATCCCACAGAGCCAATTTTAACCTAGCTCTTGTGCTTAAGCACAGTAACATATTCCTGAAAAATCCAGGGAAACACAGAAATGCTCACACTGAAGCAGCAAGCGACACGAAAATATGAAAACAACAGAAGACTACCAATGACTCAAGAAGCTTAGTTATTCAAGCACAGAAGCCAAATCTATATTCTCTGTGCGCCAGACAGATTTCAGATGACACCACGGGAGCAAAAAGGCATGAAGGTAAGACAGAAATGACAGACAGCAGAAAAAAGCAAAAGGTGTCTCATTTTACAGAGAACAAAGTTACAGCATAAATCACGCACAACACTTGAGAAGCAACCAGCACTCTCAAAAAAGTACAGCAAACAGTGGTTTTCCAACCGTGTACCTCTATTTGCATTATTTCTCAGTGTGTTACAATAAGAGCCAAACACCTAAGGTTCAATATAACTACTGAATCCTACAAGGATTGAAACGCGTCCAAGGAACGAACCGAACCCAGGTTAGCTCTCCTAGCTACGCCAGCATGTCCTGCTAACGTAAACGCACTTCATGCGAGAGGGAATTCCTGCGGAGCGCTGCTCTAAACGGGACTGCAGCAGAAGCAGCTACACCAGCAACACTGTCCACGGATTTGTCAAGAAAACTGCTATCTGCTTCCGGCAGAGCGAAAACATCGCAAAAAAATAATCACGTGTCAAATTCTGCTCTTCTGCTAAATTTTCAACTGCAGACTAAGACTTAATCATTTGTTTCCTCAGCATCACTCAGGTTTTCCGTAAATAAGCCAATATGACATTCAACTGGCCAGCTCTAGGCAAGAGTCCTCAGCACCCTCAGGGAAGCTAACGACAGCCCTTAGTGCAAAACAACAGCAGAAAAGACCTGGGGGCACGAGCTCGCGCTAAGCCGGAGCTGTGAGCCGGCAGGGGCCCGCAGCACACGCTCCAGTTGCTAGGTAGCTCCGAGTTGCAGCTACGCCTCATTTGCCTGTGTAAACATATCCTGTAGGACTATATTTACAGAACGCGGCCTTTGCTTCCCATTCCTTTGAGTGATATAAAAATGCTTAAAATTCTTCCTCTGGGATCTTAGCAACAGTTGCCTTTTGGATACTGCTGTCTTCCCTGCCACGAGGCTGTGTTTTTGTGCTAGTGGTGTAGCATACAGCTACAGCTCGGATTAGCGCTTGTCCACACAACCACGGTCTGTGTGACTCTGATTTTATGGGGTGGCCGCTCTCACCTAAGCTTCCCTAATTCAAGGGATGATAGCTTGGAGTTATCTCTGTAAAACAAGTGCGGTTCCAGGACACAGTGCCAGTTCAGAGAAGAAAACCTAACAGAATTTGCTTTGATATTTTAAGGGTCTAACATCCAAACTGCAATAAGCAGAGAGAAAAATGCCTTTTTGCATCTAAATCAAAAGGAAGACAAGTAAGGAAATGGCTTATCTAAGAGAAGTAACAATCAGAACTATGCACTGCCCAAGCAATAGGACTTGTTAAAACAGTGATATACGGGGAAATTGAGATACTAGTCAAGAGCCCACAGTATAATGCACTACCTGCAGAGAACATTAACTACAGCGGGTTTCGAAGAAGGTAGTACCATGTATGAATCGAAACAGCACGTTTGCATTATACATAAGATGACATTTGGACGCTTGTTTAGTGCAAGTTGTTTTCCAGGAAGTATATGAAAACACAGCACAACCACGCTATAAGCACGCTCTGCATGAATTAACAGCTTTCAACACTGACGAACCCTCCTAACCACATAGTCCATCTTCACACTGTCGGCAGGCACAGGCTAAAACCTAAAAAGCAGCTACAAATTGTTCAATGTACTAAATCAACGGGGAAAGACAACTCTGTTCCGAGGGCTGCGATGTCCCCCAGAACTCAAGTCGAGCACAGGCGCTGGCGTACGTTACCTGACCTCCCAAGGAAAGGCCACAAATTACCCTTTTGGTCCGGCAGCTGGAAGCTGTCATTCCACAGTTATAACTCTCAGACTTGCACGCAGAGGAATGAAAGACTGATTAAATAAAACGCTAGTTACCACAGCAGTTCACCAGTTTGTTACATGCTGCAATTTAGAACAAGTTTAAGTAGCAAGGACCTTTACCAATTTAACACTCATTTTCAGCAGTGCTTTCATTCAGTCTTAGTGGCAAACAACTAGCCCCCAACAGAAGTTATGGGCATACCCCAGGTCAGTGTCTACCTCTGCTGTTACCCAGACACGGAGAAAGTGCGGGGAAGCAGTGCATCTACTTCCAGCACTAATGTCATAACAACTTGATAACAGACCATCTTACTCCAAGTCCAAAAAGAACTGGAAGCCTATGCAAAGCACATAGATAATGATGGAGTTTTAACAGATACAGCATATTACAAAGTAAACTCCTGCCAGGATGGGCAGAGGCTTGCAGAGCTGTCAAGACACGGCGAGGTCTTTAGGAAGCCCCCTGAAAATCTCCACAAATCTGTGTACAGTGACATTTACAATATTCTGTAAGAACGCACAATTTATGAAGGTCACAAAGCTTCCAATTTTTTTTTTTTTTGCATGATACCAACAACTATGTGCTATGGACTCCCACTGACAAAGCCGGGCAGATAAAAGCTGGGAGTCACAAACGTCTCAGCAATTGGAACAAGCCCTGGGCCTGGCTCATAAACACCTCATTACAACCCACTCAATGCCAGCTCTGAAGAGCAGGCAACAGTCATGCATGGCAGCAATGAGAACAAGGGTCGGCAACGCTGGCACAGATGCAGGCTTCAAGAGGACCAGAAAGAGGTCAAATTCTTAAACAGGACATTTTGACAAACACTGGTTTTGATCTCCAGCCCGAACTTATCTGCAACCTTTCTGCAATAGGCTGTTTCGGAATGCCCCCATGGGGGCGAGAAACCTCAGTCAACCTCCTAAAACCAGGCCCTGCATATAAAAGCATATAAGCACAAACTGTAACCAAGCAAGCTGCATTTGTCTCACCTTGCAGTTCAGCAGCTGTGACTAACTGGACTGCAGGGCTGGAACCGGAAAGCTGCAGAACGTCACTGAACAAACAACTTAAAACGGGAACAAGCTCCACGGATACAACAGCAGGAGGGAGGCGCCCAGAACGGGCGGGCGCTGGGCCGTGACAACATCTGCCGCTGAACGTTCCCACCCCAGGTTTGTGTGCGCGTCTGGACACAGAGCGCCTGACTTTGAGCCTTCAGGCAGCCTGCAGCACTGCGTTTAGGTGCTATTAAAATGCAAGGCTTGACAAACGTTATCTGTATGACTTCAGGCCCAGCTACTTCAAAACTGCCATTTCTTGGCCACAGGAAGGTTTCTAATAACCCTTCCATCACTCAAGGTGGGGGGGGGGAGGAGGAAGTACGTTACCTAGATGCATGCCTTGGACATTGCACCCTGCCTTGCCACAACCATATTTCAGGATAAGTAACTGCTTACAAGCATGTGCAGCTGCTAATTCCTGGAGATACAGGCATATATTTTCAACGAAAAGAATACTGCTTTTAGGACTTAAGAACAATGAAAGGCAGGGCGACTGCCTGAAGCGCAGAAACTAAAAGCTTTTTCCTTCAGAACAAGAGCAGAATCAAGTAATTGTCGTTTCCAGGGAGATAGGGAACTTGAGGGATCAGAGCTCAATCTGCAGTTAAATGGGTTGGAAACAACTCCCTACCAGCTGCAGAAAAAACGTGGATAAAAATACATATGAAAATCCAGAGGGGGCTTTTTCCCAGCACTGCGCGCATCTACCCCTGCTTGGGAACAATGGGCCACTTTTATTCAGATGATCCAGAGTAGCTTTTCACAAATGCCAAGGGAGAAGTATTTCCTATGTTCTCCCTTTCCTTACACATCTCCCATGCAACCTCCATTCACAACAAAAACTGACAGGAATTTCAGTTCTCTCCTTTTGAGAGAGAAATCTAAAAAAAAAAATCTTCCTGACATTCGTGAAGTAGAGTTGTAAGCACACCGGGTAAGTCAAAAATATCTAAAGGAAAAGCTTGAAATACTTCTCACAAGTTAGGCAGGCCTTTGGCTTTCCACTAAAACATTCCACAGACGCCAAAAGTTCCACGTTTGAACGGGAAACCAATTTTTGAGCTTCTCCCCCGTGTAAGCAGCAAATCCCATGACTTAGCCTGAGAAGTTCTGTTAAAAAGAAGAACTGGTGAGATACATTGGCTTCACTGAAGTTGCGTGTGGATAGGTGTGCACAAACAAACGCAGCCCAATCTCCACAGCAGTCTCATCTGTTCCAAAGAAAAACGGACTCAGAGCTGAAGTACAATGATACAAAGACAAAGAACAAATATTGCTTTCTCAGATTGCTCTCACTCTTTCTGACTTGGTAAGAAAATGACTGAGGTGGTCCATCAGTAGTCCCATTCTTTCAGAGGGTGCCCTGAAAAACAAGTTCGGGGAGCACGGGCTGATAAGGAAGGGGTTTTCCAAAATAACCAATACCTTTGTGAGTGCTATAGAGGGCTGCAAATGTCACCATGAAGAAGGTGGTGGAATATTTTCCAGCATTAACCAGATGAGGAAAGGCCCGTTTGGTATCGCGGTAACGACGCAGGCACTGGATGAATCGCAACCAAGCGGGGATGCACTGGACAACTGCTCTCACTCCGTAGGAGTAGCTGTTACAGATTTGATTATCTGGAAGAAAAAGAAGTTTCAGGAGACACGGAGATCGTACGTTTAAGAACTTCTATCATCTTCTCTTCTGTATGAGCAATCTCATTATTTTACTTAAGAGTGCAATTCCCAACCTCTTGTACTTGCACACCTACGTGTATGCATATATGCGCTCACAACAGTGAGAAGCTCATCACCAGGCGACTCAGTGAAGGAAAAGTATTCTGAACCCCTGTACTCCTAGGTATTTAGGTGGCATTACATCAACAACACATCCAGACAGATCATCTTCTAACTCTTTCACTGTTGCCAGTACAATTAACGCACAAGAAGATTAGAAATAATCTATTTTTAATTTGCTTTGTGCTTTTGGCAGAACCGTGAATAATCAAATTAAGGATGGAATTACAAAAGGCCCTCTATACTGAAGCTTTGTGCATAAATGGCAAAGTGTTCCCAAACTCCACAGGAGAGCTCAAAAAGGGTACTTTGTCTGTGATGTCCTTGACTTGATTTTTTCTTGCATATTGTAATTAAAAAACAACAATTTTTTTTAAAAAACACTAGATTTCAGTGTGCTCTTTTAACAAACAGAGGACATAGCCCTTGTTAGAACAACTGGGGTCATGGGAAACTAGACAAACACAACACTACGTTGCAGACATGTGATGCTGGAAAGCCCCTATTTTATCAGGGAGCGACCAGGAAAATTCAGACTTCGCCTGGAACCCCCCAAACATGCCATATTCTTACCCTGTCTTGCTCAGCCCCCCTCACAAACAATCCACTGATAAACAAACATTTGTGTGTCATTCATCCTCATGGAGACAAATTCATTAGCCAACACATACTGCAGGGCACTGTGCTATCATTCCAATGTTTGGATTGGAAGGGGACAAGTAGTAAATCACCCAGTTGCTGTATAACGTTTTTTTTTAATAAATAAATGTTCAGCTAATTCCAGCACTGGCTCTAAGGGAAGATAGAGATCAGATAGATTGGAGGAACAAAGTGATTGATGCTGAGAGAGCATGCAGTTTGCTTCAGCAGACAAGCATGATAAACCCATGAGACAACACGATTTGCCAGCAGTCACTGCCCAAAATGGAAAGAACACTGCCTGATTCAGTGAGAGACAGTATTATTTTGCCACTGGGAAGACTAAAGTCAACATTCGTATGCCATCTCTGGCTTTTCTAGCTAGAAGCAGAGAGGCAGAGCATGCACAACCCTTGTGCCTCAGCATCAGCTCTAATTGAGTAAGGGGTGGCACTAACAAGCTCTGAGGAAGTTCCTCCAACCCCTCTTGCTCAAGGGCACCGTGACAGACCCTGTAAGAAACAGATTACCGCACGGATAAAATCACGGTAAACAAGCTCATGCAACTCCTGTTATCATTTCCAAGCTAAGCAACAATAAGGGGCTAAAAGCAAATACATGGTTAGACTACTACGAAATAAAACAGCAATGCCAGGAAAATTGCTTTCTCTTTCCAGTTAAGCAGCATTGTGTCTAAATTCTTTGATGAATATACAAGTCAGGCCAAATAACTGGATTAGGAAATGAACACTGACGTGAAATTCCACTTCTCCGGATGGAAGTAAGGAATGGGAGAATCTCTCTAATGCTATGCTTACAAGAAATGCTAATTATTTTCGTTTCCTATGTAATTGGTAGGTCTCTTCAACAGGGACAGATGCCTATGAAATTGTCTCGCTCAGTGTTTCCTAGGTCATTTCAACAGCATTCGCATGGATCGTCAGCATTACTCTACCTGTGTTGGCCAGAAGTCCAGCGTTGTTCTCCCACTGAAGCTCAAAGCTGTAGAAACAGATCATGTACTCCAGATCCATGAGGATCACAGCCAGGCTGTTGAGCTGATCAGCCAGCCAGAAGTCTGCGAAGCCCACCTTGTGGAAGGGAGCCGTGAACACCCGAAACTGTCAGGGAAAAAGGAATAGTTACATGACATGCTAGCAAAGACATTAACTGCAGTGGCAGATCACACCATTGAATAACTCTGGAAATAACAGAAACACCTGAAGATCTGATGCTGACCTTCTGCTCCTGCTGCCAAAAAGTAACTGTCTCCCCACTTTAAGTGCAAATAAAATTCCCTCTTTCAGACGTCTGATTCTCCTCCTGCACCAACTAGTCACCCTTCCTTCACCGGCTGAAGAGCCCAGTCTCCTTCAAAAGCGCCCTTGCCCAGAAACTCGCAGTCTCCACGTAAGGCTTCTTTCTACACAGCTCTGCTTCGCCCGCTGCCCCTCACGCTCATCAGCACTTTCTTTCAGGCATTTGTGTCATATCTATTGACATCTTCCACACTTACCTTGTGCTTCACACTTAATGCCAGTTAGATTAGATGCACAGCTTGGCCTTTAATCTGATCCTGGCTCAGTTTAACTCCTTAGGTTTTCTTTGGTGTTAGAAGTTTTAAGAGTGAATAGCATTACTGATGGATCCCCCAAACCCTCCAGCATAGAAAGAGGGAAAGGGCAGAGGAAATCCTATTAACTGTCAATTAGGCTCCCTCTCAGTCCCAGCCCACTCTCCCTTTCAGGCTTAACAGCAGTTATGCTACTTTCAAACCAGACTTTTCATGGTCCATTACCTTTGATTGTAACTCTCTCTACCCAGTTAGTTATAGTTACTAAGGGCCAATTTCTCAAAAAGACAGCACCAGCATCGTCCTGTAGTTCAGAGATTTGTGAACCTTCACATTAATGAAAGTGCAGGCCAGCATTGATCTTTTATACTGCTCTTCTTATTAACCTAAAAGGTATACAGTTACAGAAACCAGTGAAAAAAATGACATGTTCCCATCCAGCTTACAATGCCAGTTTAAGGCTCTGGTCCTAAATTTCAAAATCAAATAGGAGATCCAGATATAGTGACATGAAACAGCAGATAAGGATCTTCAAAGAGAGAGCATTGTGCTCTTGTAGGACAGCACTTATTACAAAAACTCAAGCAGTATCACGTACAAACATTAGGAACATCTGTTCTTAGTCAAAGTGTTCCAGTTATGGAACAGCTTCTAGAGAGATGAGAGAACCCACAACAAGCCTTCCTTTCCAAAAAGGTCCCTCCTCCATCTAATCAACACTCCCTGATACTATCTTCTACCCATTTAATTATCCACTTAATTTTATGCACATTTCTGAAACAAAAATCAACCAAAACAAAAATAAATTGCAAAAACACAGCTTTACAGATAGATTTTCCTGAAAAAAGAGGAAGAAATCAATGGAATCCATTTTGTTATTTACTTTAAGGACAGACACTTGGACACTGTCAGCAGACGACAGCCTAAAAGTCTAAGAGAGTAAAAGCTTTCCACCTAAAGGTTACAGTAGACCAGGAGTCAGCAGAGACCAGTGCCTTAGCTGGGTTACGTACGTATCTGAGTCAAGGATCCTCAGGGAACTGAGCTGCCATCTGAACCCTCCTAACTCTCTGAGCCAGGCACCGTGGTTTCTGACTCTGTGCTGCTGCGGGCTGCCTCAGACACGTTCTGCTTCGCCAGCTCCTCTGAACTGCACGCATCGGGACGGAAGCTGGGCCCAGTGCACTACTTGAGCCATAGACGACTGACATTTGCAGAGTCTTAATGCCACGGTGTGTTAATGTGTATTCCATTCAGAGGGGCATAAAGAGCACCAAAAGCACATCGGATACCCAGTTGGTTCACCTGAACTCCACCCCTGCTTATTTGGTTGGCCAAAAAAAAAAAAAACAACCCAACAACAACAAAAAAAACCCCACCCAAAAACAAAAAAGAGGAGAAAAAGAAGAGGTCACAGCTTGCAGCGGGGTTACAAGAGGGTGCTGGCAGTAGAAGGCATTGTCCACTGGCAGGTACCACAAGCAAATCTATCTTCCCAGTGAGAAGCATATGCAACATCCCTCGGTAAAGACAGGCGGCAAGAATAAAGTCATAAAATACCAAGAGCTAGAGCTGAACTTAAGTTTCAAATAAATGGTTCCACAGTCCACGTACAGACTTTCAGGTACTGATTACTGCACTTTCAGTAAGTGCTGGGACAGCAGATATTTGAGCTAGAGCTAAACACTTCCTGGATTTTCACCTCACACACGGATACGCTCCCTGCACTTGTTTCACCACTTCAGCACCCTGCAGAAAGCATCGGTATGTACATGCTGCTTCATTCTTTGCACTGCGATCCGATTCCTTTTGGCTGGCTGTGTCCTCCAGCTACGCAAGTGCATTCAGGATGGTTCTCATTTGGCAGCAAAGGGGCAGAGCACGCTCAGCTGGGGTCATTTGCCACTACAAAGGCACACGTAAGCATACAGGCAAGACAGAAGAAAGCTGGGAATTAAACACCATATCTTGCTGCAGATTAAATAAATATTCTTCCTGAGAGCGAAAGAGTTGAGAGCTAACCTCTAATCCCTCAGGAATTATTAAAACAGATTACACCTATGACAACCAAAAAGCAGTTGCTGATGAACAAAGGTAGATGCAATATGCCTCCTAGCTCCATCAGAAAACGCTACAAAACACTGAAATATACTCCCAGACGCTCTGCGACACCCAGTATGCCAGACTTCCTTCTGGCCAGCATGTAAGCTTAGGAAAATAAACATACCAAGCACAGAGGGAAAAATGCTCACCAAAAGCAAAATTTGTGTGAACGGTACAGTTCTACAGGGTGCACTCTTTAAACCTCTTTCACCCAGGTACCTGCTGGTGACTGCGGTAAGAAATAAAATATGCTCAGCCAGCTAATTACATATAATAACAATTAGAAAAGCCTAACAGCTACTCTTTACGTGGTTTATTAAGCCACCTCCCCCCACTTCCCACCCCCACATAACAGACAGTCAAAGGTACTGTGTCATTTTCCACCACTAAGGTGATCTTGCATTTTGATGAGGCTTTTCTCCCCAGGAGACCTTGGGATCAAGTGGCCTCTGCATGTTTGAAGATATGTCCGTATCGCAGACTACAGTGTAGTCTGAAGACAGCTGAGACAGAGCAGGTACTGGAAACTGTCTAGCCATGGCTACAAAGAGCTCTGCGAAGACAGAGAACCTTATCCTGCTAAGACATTAAGGAAAATTAGCACAGATAGTGCTCACACTATTAGACCATTTCCAGTACTTCCCCTAGCACCAAGGGACAGCAATAACACTAATGAGGCTAGGGACTAAAGGTAAGTCTTTGAGAAATGGCTCAACGCTGGAAGGGAAAGGGGAATAGAAAACTAAGAGTAGTAACATAGCAAATCAAACAACAGAGGTAAGTGCACAGAGGTTAAATACCTGTGTGTATAACTGCACGCACACACTTAAAGTATGATTCTACTTTTCATCTTTGCAACGTTCCAGATAAAGTTAACTGTTTTAATTGGCATTAAATTATGATTCCATGAATAACGTCAGCCAGCCAAACACTCTCCCTACCCCCCAAATGCCCTCAGAGCAGTTCCAGCAAGAATAAGGTATCACGGGAACCAATTTGATTAAAGCTAATTTAAAAGGGCACAGAGGGAGGGGATGAAAGCATGAAATAGTCATTTTGGAAGGAACTGATGAGCCATCCAAGGAGTTTGAAAACCACTCTTTTGGAGTTCCCACCTATAACTGGAACACTGAATTAGCATGCATATTTACGTTCACTTTATCAGATTCTTCTCATCAGGAAAACGGGTACTGGGGCCAAATAAATGCTTCTGCTTAAGGTCAAAAAGGATCTGCAGAAAAAACTATGAACATAATTTTATAAGCAGTAACTTTTGCAAGGGTTCCCTCTCCATGAGTAAACCCTCTAAACGTTGGCACTCTCCCAGTTTGGGTTGGGGAGCACCAATGCAGCTTTCCATAGAGCACTGTAACCAAACCGTTTTAATACATTAAGGGATAAAACAAGCAAAGATATATTAGTGTTTCTATATATGCAAAAGTATGCATACAGCTGTACACATGAAGATTAACAAGTAATTGCCTGCCATCCGAAGATAATGACAGACTAGTACAGACAAGCAGAAGTTGCTTTTGCAACCCCATGCTCAACAGACACTTGCAGTCAATATCTTATCATGTCTAATGAATGAATACATGTGTATAATAGTATGGCATCCTTCCAGTCTGAAGATTAGTGAGGCTTGTATATTGAAACTGTTACAGCCTAGTTGCATCAATTTTTTATTTTCTCATTCTTCTCCCCTCCCTCCCCCTTCCCAAAAGCAGGTTTGAGACTTACCAATAGTTTGAGCAGCCAAAAACGGGACTTGTAGTATAAAGTTTTGGTAGGGTTGATGAGAAAAAGTAACATGAAGCCATACAGGATGAGTGGATTCACCTGCATAGGGATGTAGGTGAATTTACCATATATACATGCCAGCAGGCTCAGGCACCACAAAACCCCGAGAAATCCAGCAATCTACAGAAAGACAGAAGAAATACAGAGTTGTATACCTTGCAACTAACAACTCCAAATCGTACAATGAATTCTCATTATAACAAAAGGGAGAACAGTGTTCAATCCTGTAATCAAATCAGACTTCAGCAACTTCCTCCTCTGGATGCAGTAATTATGTTACAATTCCTTGCCAGGAAATGGTACAGGATTTATGCTCCTGATACTCACAGCTCAACCACTCCTGCAATCTGTTCTGCTTACCTCAAAGAGATGTTGATGGGACAAGTTGCTGCGGGGATTGAGTTCAAAGATGAGGACATGGTTTACTCCAGCCTGCCTCCAGCCATATGTGTTGATGCCCAGGAGAAAGAGGAATTCTATCAGGAGAAAGCCACCTCGATAGATTCTCACCAGTGGCCACACATTTGGTCCATCTATAAAAACCACACCTGAGAAGGAAGAGGGAAGGGGGGGGGGGGAGGAAAAAAAAAAAAAAAAAGCAAGACGACTTTTATGATAGCATAAACCATGTCACAAATCAAACTGCACTACTCTATGCTGGTTCTCAGGTGCTCAGCTACACCCCACGACAACTGAGTACACTTGTAACTCACCTGCATAGTCTAGTAATTGGAAGACAGTTTACCTAACCTATCAGAGGCTTGGCTTGCTACAGTTTTGAGGTTGTCACTTGACCTCAGGTCAGCCAAGAGGAACAGCATCTTGGCCACCCTTTAATTCAGTGACTTAAGCTAGATAGGCAAGGCTAAGGAAAAGGAGTGAGTCATCTTGCCTTCTAGGATGAAAAAAAATAGACTGTTACATCAGATATTTCACATTCCTTTTAACCTAAATTTACTGGTGCTACAGAGCTCCTTAAAATGATTTATAAGTACTCTGGGGAAATTTCCATCTCTAGCTTGCGTAGATCATTAGCAGCATCATGGGTCCCGTCTCACGCTACCGACACAAGGGATAGTACCAGCAGAAATAGGACTGTATTGACTTACAGTTCTGGTTTAACAGAGAACAATTCTCAGCAGATGGAGATACAAACCGCAGCTCCCCACAAAACCAAGAAAGTACAATTTACAACATTTAAAACAATGCTAAAATGCACCTAATCACTAAATTCAATGCAACTGTTAATGCAGAATATATTTGTAACCAGCACTATAATTTCCAGCCACAGTCAGAAAGAACATCCAACACAAGGCAGTAGCACTGGAAAGTCTGTTGCTTCCTTTGTTCAGTCTTCAACGTTTTGGACAGAGACTCACTTGCCTTCAAACAATGTGCAGCTTTACAAAGTAGAAGCTTTGTCTAGCATAAGCCACTTTGCAAAACGCTGTCCTCCAGATGGCCTGATATGGGTTTTATTAGTAAAGGACAACTACAATTGTTTTAGTCATCAATTTCAGTTTCACTGAGCATTTCTCACCCATGTCTTTCAAAAGGGAGAAAAGAACATGCAATTTAACAGAACTGATACCGAGAATTTATTCTCGCACACCCTCCTGCCTAAGCCACAGCCCAACTTTTTCCAACTTTTCTTCAGAGAAAAAATATCTGAAGAAATTTCATGTGTTCAGCATTTGTACTTTATACCACATGAAACTATCGAGGAAAAAACGGAGGGAACAACTCCTCAAGAACTGTTGCTATAAATTTATAACTTAAAGAGAATATTGCATTTAGGCAAAATAGAGTCACATTTTGGACAGAAGTGACAGATTCCCTGACAAAGGTGAAAGAAGTGTCTCTTAAGACTAGAACTGAAAAAGTATGCCTTTCACTTTTTAATCTGAAATTCCTACAGACAAAACCACAGAAGTTGCTTCCAAATAGGACAGAGTAACTTCAAAAATACTGAGTCAGAAACACACAAAAATTACTAGATAGGTAATAGACCAGATACACTCTAGTATTCAAGTCAGAACATCTAGACAAGGATTTATCCTTATGTGAACACAGTTTAATATGGCACTATATAGCCCATGTCTTCCACAGCTAATGCCCTCTAATCTTATTTCGGTACTCGCAGGGTGATATAGAGCCATAATTCCCATATCAAGCAAGAGCTGATTCTGGATGAAAAAAACAAACTGAACAACCTCTAATCTTATTTCGGTACTCGCAGGGTGATATAGAGCCATAATTCCCATATCAAGCAAGAGCTGATTCTGGATGAAAAAACATACTGAACAACATCTGATGGGCTGAGCTACTGAAATATAAATAATAAGGGCATTTCTCTGCGTTCTCTCCTCTGAAACATAAAGGACCTACCTCGATTAGCTTTCACAGTATAAAGCCTAGACTGATTTCTTTTTCATTCGTGTTTCCCAATATAGTGGTTTTCTTCACTACAGCTGAACAGTTTGACCGACGAAACTCAAGAACCCAGAAGCAGGAGGAAAGCAGGCCCTGCCCAGTAAAGGCGTTCACGGCTGCAAACTACTGCGGCACAGACAGCTCTAAAGCCAGGTATCAGCTCAAAGGAGAGGGGAGGGCACTGAAAGGGCCCATCTGATACAAGCCAGGGAGGGGAGAACAGTCTGAAACGCCATGGAAAGTTAAGGCGTTGCACAGCATTTTTTGCAGTGAAGAACCATGCCTCCTTTTCCCTCATTTTCTGCATAACTTGAGCGAACCAGACTAACAGCAGATGGAAAAATGAAACGTCTGATAACAGACACATCAGTGAAGACCAGAGCTAAGATTCAATTTCAAATCAGTTTCAAACACTCTGCTGAAGATTGAGATATTTTCCTTCTCATTTTTAAAATTGACAGACATTTGTCCTTAGACTAGATTCCCATTATTTACTTAAGTGAAACAGTAGAAAAATTGGGGAAAGGGTTCTGCTTTATAACTACATGGCACCCCAGACTTAGAATTGTCTTTTTAATGTTACATTTCCAGCCCTTTGTTAGAGCACTTTCCCTCCTGAGGAGCTGTGCTGATACCAGCTAGGACCACTGCTCCAATATAACCCAGCATTCAATTCAGAGGTCTGTACGCAAGGCCTGAGGCAAAAAGATTTTCCATTAATATAGTGTTTCCACTTAAATCCAACCCTGCAAATCAAGTCATTTCCTAGAGTCAGCAGGTACATGACATTTGATTAACTTATCCCTTCAGTAACCAACACCGAACGGCTCCAGCAGACAAGGGCTCTAAACAAGGTGTTCGGAGAAGAAGATTTCCCTGGTGATGAGCCCGACAACATCGCAATCCGATTCTCTTCTACGTAGGCTCTCACGTTGCCTCAAATGTGTTTTAATAGGTCTTTGTACATTCATTTCATAACATTTGAACGTGATTACTCATGCAATTAAGGTCAAGTGCTTTTCTTGTCCTCCTCAAGAATACCCTATGATTTTGAGTGCCTGATGACAAAATCAGTAACATTTCCCTTATTCATTCATTAGTATCAGGGAGAGATACTACATTCAGTAACGTGAACACCATTGCACAGACATGTTTCTTCTGGCTCAAAGCTAGTTCTGTTATCATGCTCCTTTCCCAAATGAGAGATGGAGCGCTGTCTAACTAGCCTTGAGATTCTGCATGAAGTCTTATAGTGTTTTGATTAATAAGTTATGCCCCTACTACCACAAACTTTCAACTTCAGTTACACATTAAATGTGACTCACAGTAAAGCTGATGTAGAAACCAGCAAGGCCTCAAAATAAATGTTCTTTAGGGTGGCAGTCTCCTGGGGTTTACTTGTAGAAGTTGCAACCTTTCATGGAGCCCAAGTTACTCTGAACTCATCTCTATAAACTTTGCTGTTCTGTTTTGGAAGTCGGGGAACACAGATGTTTTTTGCTAAGGGAAGTTACGTTCTAATGCTGTATTACAAATTCTACGCATACAGCGCTAAAATCCTATCTGCGCCAATCAAATCATAACAACAATTTGACAAAAGTAGCATAGGAGTTGGCAAATTAATACCCAGTTAAAAACAAAAACTTCAGAGCACAATTTTTACCCAATATTTGAATAACTTACAGGCATCAGAGCATGTCTCCCGATACAAACATACCTATTATTCACACCAGTTTAGCAATGTGTGCTTTAGAGGCATAATCATGCTTATGAATTCATTCTCACAACCACGTCACTTTTTTCATTCTTCATGCTGAGAGATTAAAAACGAACACAGCCAGCTGCTATCATGTTTGCATCTCATACAGATATCAAACACATAAGTTACAGAAAAAAAGAAGAAATAATGAATAAAAACCAACTTATTCACATTAAGTAGACCCTTCACACAGAGGGTCAACTTTCTGCCTCGGCCACAGAAAGACCAGAAGGGAAGCACTTGCAAACAGGTTCTAAAACACAGAAATTCTATCCCATGGGATGACTGGATCTAGTTACAGAAATACCCGATTAAAAATTCTTTTAAATCAAACACAGGCACGGGCTTTCCATAATGCAAGAAGTTATAAGGTGATTTGTCAACCTTTTCCTTTGTGCTATTTAAGCAAATTACACCACTCTACTGAAATCACACGCGCAACTAGTAAAGCTGCTTGCGATAATTCTGGATCTAGAGCACTAACGTGATTTTTAAACGAATTCGGAGTTTCCAGCAACTCAGAAGGTACAAAATAGTAAAACTAAAGCTTAAGACAGGCAATAACTTACTGCAGGTTTTTAAGCAATCTTGACGCAAGTCTGCCAACAATACAAAATCAATTAACTCAGTTAGTAGGCATCAAGCCTTTATGCCCTAGAAACTCCTACATGAAAACTTCTTGAATGCCATAGTGCTCCCGCAGCCATGTGCCTGCTCTCATTCTTTGTACAGAGTCAGTACTATGCAAAATTTAAGCTCTAGGAACACCTCTCTCAAAGACGGTAGGGTTGTGTGTTCGCCAAAAGATAACAGAGATTCACCTTTCCACATAGATGTTATACTTTGCAGGATATCTCCCACTGTGAGTAAGGGGGGAACCAGGAGCACAAATGACAATACCTTCAAAGATCAATATCTGCATGCATGACGTGAGAGCTACAACTCATTCCTGAGCAGAACTAATTCACATCAGTGTGATCTGACTCAGCCTGATGTAACCCAGAACATCCTGAACAATCCAGGTCAGCTCCAGGCCATTACTAAGCGATAACTACAGACCTATACCAGGCTGTGGGAGTCAGCTGGGTGCAGCTGAGCAAACCTACCTGAAAGTATGACAGTGATGTTCAGTACAATGAATATTCCGCAGAACAATCCAACCCTGAACGTAGTCCAGGCTGGTGCAGGCTGTGAACAAAGCAGTGGTGGAATTAAGGGAAGATGAATATGTTATCAAAGTCCAATTACTTTGCAGAATAAACTTAAAATCAGGGATACAACACTCTGGCCTATGATCACGTTTCTCCTGCAGTGAGTTTTTTTTTTAAACTGACAAATGCTGCGTAGTGGTTTTTGGCTCAGGTATCTCAACACCTTTTGAAAAGTCTTCGGGGCTACACCAACTGTAAATATATATTATCATCAGCATGAATTCCCCTTTACTATTCACCTCATCCCTTCATTACTTTGGCTTCGTGCATTAGGACTAGTAAGCTACTTCCGTACCTTCCAAAACTAAAGTAGATTATGTGACCATGCCCCCTCTCAAAATCTGTGGAACGTTCTCACAACCCATGTATTTTCAGTTCTCCATTCAGATGTTGGATCTGCACTGGCCCCTTGACAAACTGGAGAAGCAGCTTAGTTATATAACTTGATCTCTCACCTGAGCTGCTCCCAAGGGTGGAACACGCAATCGTTTCATAGCCTTCTGCCTGTCTCCATCTTCTAACTCATTGGTCACCACTGCCTAAGGAGATTAAAAAAAATACACATCACAGAAGTTCATTGTAATGATATACTCCTATATATTGCCTGCATTGAGTTATTACACAAAACAAGCTAATGCTGCATTAACTCATTGGAGTGAAAAGTAACCAGCTGATGACAACACACACAAATTCAAGTAAGCAATGCCAGAAGTCAGTGGCACTTTAAAATCAATTAACAGTTGCCTTGGTTGTGGATACAAGGTGCTCCTAGGGCAAAAGACTGTAAGAACAGAACACGAACAATAAATGGTTTCCTAGCTAAAAGAGAAGCCAGTGCATAGACTAGCATCTTTACCTCTGTTTCAGAGATAAGCTGATTGATTTTCTTGCAAGTGTAGAATGGTGCCACTTCCACCTGGGCCACGCGCCAGTCCGCTCCTCGTGAGGTCTCCAGGATCTTGTCATGCTTCTTTAAGATCTTGCGGAAGCCAGTGAAGTTTAGGTTCTACAGACAAAGAAAAAAAACCAAACAGTTACTTGTTTTTAACCCCAGGCAATTAAGAAGAAAGTTAAAAGGTTATATTCCAGAAGAATCAAAATTATTATATCTGTTATTCTATCTACTGTCAGGAGGTTTTTGTGTGTTACTACTTCATTAAAGTAGTATAAATCTATTACAAACCACAGAAAAAGCGTGTGGAGCAAGGGCATAGAAGAGAGAATTTATTTGCAGGGAACTAATTAAACCTAATGTTCCTGGAAAAGCCAAATCATTGCCCCTTTCCTCCTTAATCCAGAAAGTGACAACACTCCTGATGAAACTTCACTGAAGATAAACGAACTTTGGACATACTTAAAACTTGCACGTTTAATGTTATTTCAAGACATGGGGTTTTTCTGTACGGATACACCTCACTGCCAGGGAGACGCAACTCTAGTCTCTCAAGATAAGCACACAATACTGCATTAAGGGCAAAAATAACGGTTGATTTCTAAGCTACGTTTGAGCCCTGACCCAATAGTTTAAACGCAGTAACAAAAATATAAAAAGCTCACCACACTGCAGCAGGCAGGCAATTGCTGTGATAAGATACATTTGAAATACTCCATTTCATTATACAAAAAACATCACTCAAAAAACTTAACATTTCATTCAACTAACAGCAGGGGCATAGTCAGACCAGGGCAAGATTCACTTCTTGTTTTCAAAAAGCTTAAAAAATAGCTTGGAAAGAAAAACCACAGAAAACAGCAGCATCCAATACCCTGGGGAGAGGCGCCAACTACTCACTGAAATTATTTTCAATCTAATTATGCTTAGAGTGATTTAATACCAGACCCCCCTCACCTAGATGGGGAAAGGAGGACAGGGAGATGGCAGCAGGAAGCCAATGCATTAACGATCTGCATTATTGCAGGCAAGAGACTAATTGCTTTCTATTGGAAAAGGCAGCATTCCGCCCTTGGGAGAGCGGATCATTATTTCATAAATTTGAAATGAAAAAGATGCAACAAAATGATAATTTTGGTCAGAGAATTTTCTGTAGCCTGACCTGACACCACTTCATTTGCCATTAGTGCAGTCACAGCCTAACTCTGGCGCGCCTCAGCAGGCGCCGGTATATTACTGTGCCAGGCACCCTACAACCTCCACGACGGCATTTCCTCCTCTGGCTGCAAAAATTCTGCAATCCCAAACTGTACGATGAAAAAACTGTTGATTACAATGGTAATTTTAACAAGGAACATTCAGTGATGAACTTATGAATAGGAATGGTCAAATATCACTTACATAGTCGGAGGTTTTGTATCTCTTGCTATTCAAAACACCTACTTGACAAGAAGCTTTCTCCAAGCCTGACTTCCATTTCTGCTCATACTAATTGAATCTATTGAAAGGAATCAACTAATGGCATGTTTTGCCATTACAAGTGAAAAAATCTTGTGCAACTTGTACAATAATATTATGCAAGATCAAGTAGGATGAAATGACAGACTCAATCTTTGCTCATATGTAAGTGCATTAGTTAGAAAATACAAAAGCAAGGCATTTGCACAACAGTTTTAATAAGACTGAAAGAGCCTCCAGTATTTGCCCCATGAGTATGCGATATCTCTTAATTTCAAGATTTGTTTGTTCTGAAACACAACCTTTCAAATAAATCATAATTAGATTTATATGTGTGTGTGTGTGTGTATGTACATGTATTCTAGAATTATATACTCTTAATTTAAATTAATTCATTGATAACAAGTTAAATCACTGGAAAGCTGAGAAAAACAACAGCTGTCCTGGAGCTAAGCTGCAGTTTCACTTCTTCTAAAATTAAATAGAAAATGTCATGAGAAGAAGTATTCAGCTATTACCCACGTAGCATTACATAGCTAGTATCAACCCACACGTTTGTGTACTTTAAGAAGTGGGGCATTCAACTTTTGCTGTTGCTTCAGTGCTAACAGCCAGAGAAGTTTGCTTCATGTGGATTTTCCTGTCTTGGTAACCCAACTCAAGACTTCAGCATTCTGTTGGAGCCATGGTTTGATACATACAATGCCACTGGTGACCTCCTACATGGAAGCTTCAGCTAGGTCTTCTTCCCATCAGGTTATTGTTTTGCCTCTCCAAAACTGCAATGGCTTGAATATCCTAATTCTTAGTTTCTAAACCCAAATATGAATGAGTAGTATTTCATTTTTTCTTTTCTCTCCCTCTTTTTTTTTCCAGTACATATATCCCTCACCCTCAATTTCAAGACCAATATGAACTAATTTTTCTCACTCTTTTTGAAGGTAAGTTCTAGAAAGAAGTTCTGCTGCTCTTGAAAACAGTGAAAACTCAACTCCAAATGGATTTTATATCCTTATTTACTATATACATAAAACGGTCCTGGACTCATGATTGTGAAAGCCCAAACAGTGAGTGTGCAAAATGCCTTCCTTGGGTGATGCGGAGTAGCAAAGGATTTTCCAAAGGAATGACCTCTGTCATGCCCTATTTAAATTCTTCATCAAGCCTCAGAAGTGATTCTTCATAACCAAGAGCAAGAGCTTTCTTTTTAAAAGAAGCGAAGAAACCGCAGCAGGTAATACTGCTTCACTCCATTCCAGAAAAGCTGAGGATACTCTACCTTCCCCAGGATTTTGAACTAGAAGCGCTCTCTAATAGTTAAAGGGCTTTGTTGAAAAACCCATGGATCAGCGCCCCAAATAGGTTCTTGCAACTACCAAATCTGGGTTCAGGACTCTGTCTGCTGTCTGTCCAATCAATGGAAATAAGTAGCCATAATGTTGCTAAGAGGTCGTCTCAACATACCACCGAGAACTTCCCTTTAAGGCAGTCTGGAGCCTGTTTTAGTACAAGTTGGGACAAGAATTTCCAGCCTAGAACCCCAATATTAAAGCAATGAAATTCCAGTTGAGACATCTAGGTAAGTGAGTGAATGGTGGCAGCCTAAGCACTTGTGTTCAAGGGCATAATATCACTGAGAGTTGCAATTACTCAGAATTTTGGAAGAATTAAGCCTTGTCCGTACTACAGAACAATATTTAAGTATTTTTTACGGTGAATTTCTAGTGAAATTATCAAGTAGACAGACAATCCTGGTGAAGATCTAAAATAAGACGTAGTAATTTTACGTTAAAGAATTTAAGTTTCAACACTCTTAACAGGGGAGGAGGAAAAAAGACATTTAAAACATTTCAGAGTATTTAACACTAAAAGAGTTATAGTCCAGTGATAAAAGACCCTGACAGTTTCAGGTTTTTGATTTGAGATTTTTGCAACAAAATTTAGTCTCTGCAACATTTATTGTGCCCTTTCGTGTTAGAAATACAAGTACAACTAAAGATTTGTTTTTTCATACTGCCTTCAAGGCAAATGACCCTGTACACTACACAATTAAAAACATTTTTTTTAATGGATGTTTTAAAAAGAAATATTGATACAGCAAGGTCAGAGCCACTACCATGGTAACACCAGGAGGAAACAGCACGTTAAAATTTCAAGCTTCCACCGCAAATATTAGATAAAACAGCTTCTTCCCAAGCGTCGCGGCTCCAGCTCTGCTCAGAACAAGGCAGCACAGCAGAATGCGGCCTCCGGGTGCCAGCAGTGACTTCATGTTCTGACCATGCCTGGGGCAGGGGTGCTGGGGTCAGCCAGCTCCGAAAAGGGAGGAGAAGGAAGGTCCTTCTGCAGGTCAGTTTAGCCTTTCTGATTCAACAAAAAACAGCAAAGCAGCAAGTTACTAGCTGCTTTAGATTGCTATCCAAGGATGCGCTCTTCCTTTAATAAAGTTTAGGGGCCCCAAAGTCAAAAGAAGAAACTGAAACCTGCCTCGAATGAGGCAATTCAAGGATACACAAGCACAGAGACAACACATGCACAAAACACAGCGTAGTAAAGCCACCTTGTCTTGTGGCTACCTGATAGTTCTGCAGTAAGATGAGGCTGAGGTAGAACTCGCTGAAGGCCAATTTCAGGTCTTTGATGTTCCTATGCTGGACACGCTCTTCATGGGACAGGTGGAAGACCGGCTTTCTGCGCTGCCGCAGCGTGGAAATCCCACTGGCTTCTCTCTGTGCGTCCAAAGTTGACTGTAACTCAGTCTGAAGAGTAGCGGACCTGCGCTGAGCTTCTGCAAGTTTTTCTGTTAGCAAAGAAAGGAAAAGGGCAGGTGAGTGCGCAGCAACTTGCTTATTAAGCCTGTAAAAAGCACTACACTCTTTCCCCAAATATTGCACTTGTAGATAAAAAACACTGAACAGAATAACCCACTGCATGGCCTTTCCCCGCTAATCATTAAATTCGACAACTCTACAAACATTTCATTTACGCAGCTCCTTCTCATTAAAGATTTTAAGGTACTCCTATGAATAACTCTTAAAAGAAAAAAAAAAAAAAGTGCTCATGTCAGACAAGTCTCATTCACTCAAGTCAAAAATCAAGCGTGTAAACGACTGTCCCTTCGGCGCAGGCTAACGCAGCAGCAGAAATAGAACTCAGATCTCTTGATTTCAATTTCTAAATGATGCTCATTCCAGGGCTGTATAAATACCCGTCACTGACGGAAGAAGCCCAACCTGAGCAGCTGTTGCATGCAGAAACTACGCATCTGACACCTGTAACTAGAAGCTATAACACAGCCCTTCTGAGTGCCAAGGGGACGCAGAGTCCGATCTCCCGACATGCCGCCATTCTGGCAAAGCCAGAGGTGGAGGCAGCCAGGCAGATACTATCTCGTTTAAATACCAAAATAGTGACCACATGTCTATTCCGTGCGCGAAGGAAAGCATGCTTCTCTCTCAGCTCTCAAAAAAACAAATCCACAAAAGAAAAAGCATTAAAAAACCTGTTAGCCAATATTCGGAATCGACCCAAGAGCTCGTAAGTAAAGCACTTTCAGTACTTGGGCACCCAGTACTGGCTAAGAAACGCTTGCTATCTTTTCATAGGACAGTAAAGAAACCAAAGACACACACTTCAAATGTGATGCAGGATTTAGGAGCTCAGAAAGCAATGCAACTCTTTTGCCAAGTACCGACAGAAACACAGCACAGCTTCTGCTTTGATCAGGACTCTCAACACTACAACTGCCGCGTACGATTTGCGGTAATAATTTATCCCTCCTTACCTCAATTCAGGTTCACATAAGTTAGTAGCATTGCATTATATTTTTTATTGGTTAAAAGGATAGTCAACCTGATTTTAAATATCACTTTATTTTCTGAATAAATAGGTCCTCTTCTTCACACCTCTTAAGTATGAGAGAGGCATTCCTTTAGACATGCTCCTTTATGTTCTTCCAGAAAACGATCTTGTGCTGAACAACAATCTTTTCATGCTAAAAACAGAATAACCGAACATATTATCTTTCTTTTAGCTTTGTACATGTAGTTCCTTCTGGGTCCCACCCCCCCAGTGAGAATTTCAGTCACAGCTTTGGTATCTGCTGATAAGCACCATTGGGAAACGGCATTTGCCATGAAGACACCGAGCAGATTCAGAGTCCAGGACAGACCGTCAGGCACTGGAGCCATCTGCACAGAGCTGGCAGAACACAAGCCCATCCTGCATCAGAAAGCGGGGAGCCACAGGATCGTTGCACAGCACAAAGCTCTGCCTAACTGTCAGTTCAATTCTCTTCATTAGTATCTTATATAACAACTTAATGGTAATTCTCAATTACTTCCCCCCCCGCCGCCCCACACACACAAGTAAGTCTCACTCTTATGGGAGTTATTCTGACCTTTTTTGAGCGAGTCTTGTTCAATTCTGATTAATTTTAACAGCAAAATTCCTCTGTAAATAATTTTACAGCGTTCTCCATAGAACATTTTCCAGCAGCAGAATACCTTTCTGAACAAAGTACAGAAAAATCAAGTATGGAAGAGACTGAACCTTTCCATCACTTCATCGATCATAAGCCTAAATATGGAAGAGGTCCTAAAAACACAGGAATGGACTACTTCTCTCCTGTAACTTCTGCATGCCCAAGGAATCCACCAAAGAGAGGCAATGTATCCCACAGCAATACGTCTGCTCATAGCCTCCAGCCACACAATATTTAACATACACAAGGCCAGACTGCAAAAAAACCTCTCCCTCACTTTGGGAACTCTCTCAGGAAGTAGTAATAGATAGCTAGCTAGCTACTGGAAACAAACGCCTTCACATGAATATATGAAGTTCACATAGTTCACACTCTACACTCAAAATGTTATATTAAACCATTTGGTGATACACAGATTCCTTTTGGATCAAATTATTAAATACTCTGGCAAGAGTTTAGATTTACACCTCCCCATTCAAAGCATATGTTCTCTTACCCCAATGTCCAGAAAAATCTTTAAATCCAGTAGTTTAATAACATAATATTTAAAGAAAGAAATGCTTTGAAATAATTTTAAACTAGATGTTGCAATTTTACTATCTGTTTGCAAACCTCCAACATCCATAAAGAAGATCATCTGCCCATTTAAACGCTCCTCCCAATCATGGAAAAACGTAGCTTGGAAGGAACCACTGCAAGTCTCTAATTCAACCTCCTACTCAAAGCAGGGTTAAGAGTAAAGTTAAATCAGGTTGCTCAGGGCCTTGTCCATGCGGATTTTGAAAATCTTCATAAACAGAGATTGTACAGCCTCTCTGGGCCCCTGCTGCAGTGTTTAGCCATTGCCACGGTGAAGAATTTCTTCCTTGCGTCCAACAGGGATTTCTCTTTTTATGGCTCTTGACTCGATTCACCTCTTTCACCGTGCACCGCTGAAGAGAGTCAGGTTCCGTCTTCGTACAGCCTCCCACTGGGCAGGGGAAGACTGAGGTTCTCGTAGGATGACGCTTTAAAGACAACTGAACCAGTCTAACGACTTGCCATGTCTGAAAAAAGGCCATCCCTGCCACCTTCTCACTCCTCCTGCCCTAGCCCTTGCGCTGGCTCCAGTTACCTACCACAAATCACTTATCTTATCAAGGTGCAATTTTATCACCAAGAGCCATTGCAGACGCAAAATAAGGCAAAAGGTGTGCTGTCATTCTTAACACCCACCAAACCGCCCAGCGAAGCTGCAAAGCACAGTAGACAGCAGTTTCCCAATTTGCAACATACTCCAAAACATTTGAAAAGACATTCACCGCTATTGCTTATTCGGCGCTTTTAAAACTGCCTTTTAAAAAAATTGGCCACAGAAGAGTCAGAAAAAAGCAGTACGTGTTTAGAAGCTGGAACCATTCCAGTTGCGTTTGCTGCATATTGCAGCCCCCGACGGCCACTAACACCACAGCTAGAGCGTCGTCTCATCGGCAAAGACTAAAAAGAAATCTAAAACCAGCGGAGGCAGACCTCAACAAAAGCGTTTACAATAAAGCAGCAGCTTTGCCCAAAACCTGCTTCTAGATCCTGATCAAAAAGCATGGCCTAAAATAAAGAGTTTCCACCTCATCTGTGCGATTCCCAGTTGTTTTTGTGTACCATTTTCTGAGGGTAAAGAAAAGTTCCTACGTAAGGATCCTGAACAAACTATGACAGCAAGGAGCCAATAAAATACCCCCTGAGGTTCCAGTCCCATAACCAACTTAGTCCCCAACCAAACGACTGTTTGAACACTCGGTCATTTACGGAGTCACGCTTGTGATTAAAAGCTGTTGGTTTCAACCGATACAATGCAATTTAATAGTCCTTCACAGCCCCTCCTTTTAGGGCTCTGCGCAGCTCATGCAGGCTCTTTTTAGAATCGGTTTCTTTAACTTGCATATGTCATGTTTTTGTTTACTAAGTTAACAGCACGACTTCCTATGATTAATAAAAAAGAGCTCCTAAAATAACCACAAAAATGCGACTAGTTAAGACTGCTAAACAATAGGCCAAGAACAACTTGATTACACTAATTTAAAGTATAACAAACTTCCCCTCCACAAAATCCCAAACACAAATCAAAACCGGCCACAGAAAGTTCTCACAAAGTTTTTGCACTTGACCAGACGTTCCTCTGCGGGAACTATCCGTAAAATTTACTGTTAGTTTTCTTTCAATTGAGTGTAGAATTTCTTGGTAGTAGCCCAAATCATCACAGACTGTTTATCAGCTCAAATTTAGTTAAAGGCAATTTCCCTTCCTTCAGAGACAGAATAATGGCCCGGGAAATAAAGACCACGTTTGATAACAGAGGACTCTCTCTGAGCGCACGGTGGAAGGCAAGGGCGTTTTGCAGTAAGCACCGCAGCCCTGAGCCATCTGAGGGGTCCGGGAGGAGCTCGCGGTCAGCAAAGAGCCCAGCCTCCGAGGACGAGGCTGTCTCCACTGGGGGCATCCCCGACCACGTTCACTGAGGACCCCTCAGCGCAGGGAAAGGAGATGCAGAGACAAAAAGTGGAGGTGAACAGAAGGATTAGCCTTCTTTAAAAGTGGGCAAAATTACTGTACTAAAGACAGGCACACGCCTACAATAACTAGCACATACCCGGTCATAACCCGAGCCAACACACGGAGATGCCTGGAGATGCAATGGTTCTGACATGACACGTCCTATCTCTGACGTAAACAGGATAAGAAATGTTTCTTCAGTTGTTCCTACATGTAACAACGTTAATAACCCTAATAAGGGGTTTTCATACTATTAAAGTCACGTTGCTCTTCTGCAAATAAAAGACTTACTTTAATCTTATCACAAGAGATTTTCAAATTGCATGTACTCTGTTAAGTACACTTTTTGAAGTGACAGCAAGCAGAAAAAAACCTATCCTATATTATTAATGCTATTTCAAAAAGTGTTAGAACATGTGTGCATATGTGGGTGCACAAGTGCTAGCAGGCCTTCATTATGGAAAATTATAATCTGCATTGTGCATATAAGTCAACAGAATTTTTTCCACAGAGTCTAGCTTGAAGTATACAGGATCTCTTATTAGACCAGCTGATATAACTAGAAAAGTAAGTCAAGCTTCCGAGCAGATGAGCCTTTCCTCAGAAATGGAACAGAAAGAAAAGATCTCAAAGTAAAACAAAACTGAGAACAACTGCTTTGAGTTTAGGTAGCTACATGTGAACTACTTGTAGAAAAGTGCCCATGGAGTAAAGTGTAAAAAGCAGCAAGCCTTTTTAATATATAAAAATATATTGCTTCTACCTACGAGCCTACACTTGCCTCTGTCTCTACACCACTATGGCTATAGCAAAACGCCACTACTTAGCAGATGCAAAGGAACTGCTGTAGCCACCACAAGAGAGACTTCCCTCCCTACATGGAAGCCGAACAGAGCCAAGCTGCAGTGTACAGTTGTTGCATCTATTGTGCTTTTAGCTATTCTCATGCTCACAGCCCAGATTCTGCTAGCAACAAAATAAATAGCAATAAAATCATTGCCTGATGCTTATTAAAATATTCTATACAATTCAACTTGTCTTTGTTATCAGGTTAAAATCAGAAAAGACTATCATGAAGCGCTGCAAAAGCCTCTTCATAGCAAGAAGCTGATGAATCAACAATATCTTAAGAAAAAGCATGGCAAAAGTCCATACATCGCTGCATCCATACTTAAATGCTTTTCTCATTGGAAACCCTGTTTAAACATTACCAAAAGAGGCTGAGAACTGGTTGAAATGTGATGGTGGGTGGAACTAGAGCACATTATTACAAAGTCTTTTCTAGAAATATTACAGGGAAAATCTGATTGCTCCATTCTAAAGTTGATTTTCAAAATACAGGGTGAGAAAGCAAACTTTCACTGGGAAAACAAACCACAGCACTTTGAAATATGAAGCCCAGAAACCCCTAATGTTACCACCATTACCTTTTTATTCAAATTTACTAAACAGGATTATATATGTAGCCAATGACAAATTGCAACTTTCAGAAGTAGAAGAGGCAGTAGCAAGTGTTTAGTTGAAAGGGACCTGTCGGACATCTCAAGATGGACAAGTTACCATACACAGGTGAGTCCATGACAGCTATTCCTGCACAAACTTAACAAATACTAGCTAGGTAGCTTAGCATTTATGCCTAAAATATGCGCAGGAAACAGTCACCACGAATATGCAATGCTGAGAAAATGTGCCCTATGTATAAACTGCTACATAAATTTAAGAGCACCTTCCTAAAGTTCAGCAGATGCTACTCATAAGCAATGAATCACCTTCCCTTTATTCTCCCTTCATTCAGACACCATGGTTTAACTCTGCATCTGTGATTAAAGCAGAGCAATTTCCCATATAAACCCTGCCCATAATTACCTGACGGCAGACCTGCATGAACACTGCAGCAATTATGAAAGTTTGGAGACTTTAGACTCTTTGTGTTGCTTTATTTTCTACAAAAACACATAAATAAGCACCTTACCTGAATAGAAAGTGTTGATTTTGGCAAGTTCTTTCTCACAGGTTTGGAAGAACTTCTCTTCAAACTTGGCAAAATACCTTTTCACTGCGTCCTCGTCTGTGACTATAAAACAAAAGGAAAATAACGCTGTAATACGAGAATATGGCAACGATTTTCTAAATGGCTACCGTGGAAATATTTCTTCAGAGTAAATGAAGCTTCCTTGTCACGCAGAGAAAGAAGAACGATAAAGCTAAAGAGAGGGAGGGAAAAGTCACAGAAGCGGTGGCTGCACCTTGGAGGGTTGGCCAAAGTTCCCATCAGCTTTTCAGAACCGGCCTCTAAGCGCTACTGCAGATCTCCTCCGCTTCATGCCCATTCCCTAACCCAACTTTGGTGTGTGACTGCACCTGTAGTGCCCTCCTGGACGAAGACTGCACTTTTAACTGAAGGAACCGGGCTAATCAAAGCTCACTTCAAGTAAAGAAGCATCTTCCAAGGCTGTCGCAGGAAATAAACTGGGCTAGATTTTGTTTCATAAATACACTGCAAATCCCCAAACTAAATAACAACTCTTGTCAGTGACCTCTTTGCTGACTGTGCTCTGAAATGATTTTTCTTTTATTGTTTTGTTTGTGACTTAGAAATCCCCCTTTATTCAAAAACATCTCACCTATCGTTACAAAGACCCTTTAACCCACGCTAAAGCCCCACTCGAATGGAAAGGGAAGACTGCGCCCCATCCCCACTGGACGGCTGCATCCCTGCTGCTGACGTGGGTACTTTGAAGCCTCCCCTACGTTGCCATTTCAACCCGGGATAAATCCCCAGGGCCACTCCAAGGGTGGTCCAACCCTCCTCCTCCTCACCCAGCTTCTCTTTCCTCCCACAGCATGCAGTGAGTCAGATAGGGAAAGATATTCCAACCAAAAAAAGAAGGCAGACTAAAGCAGCAGCATAACCAACCTCAACATGCTACCACTGTTCTACGCCAGTTTTGATTTTGTACATTTATCCACCCAGAAGTTGTCCTCCTCTCCAGTCTTGGGCACTAGCAAGTCCTCCAACACAAACTTTATTGAGAGCAAAGCTCTTGAACACAGATCGCTTTTTATGATGGAGCTTTGTTTTCTTCTCCAGGCTTGGCGTAGCTTTGGCACCAGAACATGCGTGCCGTCTCCTCTGCAGCTCTGCAATCCCGGCCCCCACAGAGCTAGTCCAGCGTTCCCTTCCAGCTCGCCTTGTGCTGCAATTAGTACCCATGCTCTCAACCTCACCGACACGCAGGTCTTGTTCTTTCAAAGCAAAGCTGACCACGGAAAGTATTTATGCCACGTTAGCAAACAACTAATTTTTATTTAAAAGAAAAAATACCCAACTTCTAACTGAAGATTTCATTTGACCTTCCAGGTATACTCACTGGCTTCCACAATCTTTCCCATCTTCTTATCACTGGTATCTCACTGTTCCTCTCTCCTCTTTTATACGTAGTTTTGAATCATCTTTCCTCAGCAAATGACTCAGATTTTGCCAAATGCCTCAGCCTCCTCTGGTTTATGCGGGTTTTGCTGTACAGTAGAGTGTTAAATACAGCTCAGAGACTTTCACTTGGTAAGAGACACCGTCCTGGTCATCCAAAGAAACCAAGCCGAGACTTCACTTGCTCTTGAAGTCCCATTTTGTGAGAACCGATCAGCAGTGCTGAACAAAACCATTAAGGCAGTCTTCCAGGCTTCAGCATAAAGAAAAGAGACAGGCTGTGATACCGAAGCCACTGCAAGACCTTGCTTAAACCTCTTCATATTTTGTATTGCCATGAGTTGATGACAGAATAGCTCTTCCTCCCCTCAGCCTCCGAGCTGTCAAATAGCGCGGTAGGACCAAACAAACAAACAAATTCTGCCTGGAAAGTAAACAGGAAGTACTACACAGCATCCACACTCTTCCTTCTCGTGAAATAAAAAATTTATCTCAATGAAAATGAAAATTTAAAGGAAGAGACCTAAATTATGCCAATTAAACAAAAGGAATTGTTGAACAAAGCCTCGTTTCTCACCCGCTGGCCCAAGAGTACTTCAGCTCTTGGAAGAACTACGAACAATTCCATAATTATAAATCTTTATTATTTATGAAGACTTGTAGTGCATCATCTCCAAAAGTGCAGCCTATCACAGACGGAAAGGATTTTCTAATAATTAAGAAATGAACTGAATGAGTAAAAAAATCAAAGGGTCCACACTATAATTAAAAATTTTACCACTGCCAAACATTTGTCCCAAATGTTCCTAATGATGGAATAACCCAGACTCTTCACTCCTCTCATTGTGACAGCTTTCTGAATTCTCATGCACTCTTACAGACTATAAAAGGTTGCGGTTTTACAAAAGAGGAAAAATTAAGAGGTTTATTATGGTTTCAATAAGGTCAGCAATAGATTTGGAACCACATGTCATTAAATAAGCAAATGAGTGCCTACTGAAAAACGTCACTAACTAGAGGTTAAACACTCTGGACTGTCAAAAGCAAGAAAACCTTATTTTAGTATCAACTTCTCGGTAAAAACAACCCCAAATTAATCAAGAGAAAACGTGCATACAAATCCTTAACATCTAGAATTTTCTGAGTTTTATGTTTGTGGCGCTGATGCTAAACACCATGAACCTATACACACTATATTGCTTTAAAGGGTTTACATTTAAGGAATAAATAACACAGCACAAGACTGTCAAGGGACAATTTGGAAGACGTCTTTTGTTGCTGTAGAGTTTGACACCGTGTATTTCAACCTCTAAAGAGTAAAACAGGAGGCGAAAACACACTCTTGCACAGATGAGGAGCGTTTACAACTCTACCATCCGAGCAGGAGCTCGCACAAAAGAACTCACAAAGGCTCCAAGGGCAATTACACGTTCAAAATTTTGGCTCGTGAGGTCTGAAAAGAGTTACCATTAAAAGTCCTGTATTTATTGTTGATTATCCCGAGAGATCCGCAGCTGCTCCCAGGGACGAGGAGGCCCTCGGCCGTACGAGCGGCCTGGAAACGACAGGGACAGGGCTCCGACCCCTCTCGCCTGCCCGAGGCTGCAGCGGTGCAGGGCTGTTGTTAGCTGCTGCCGGAGCCTCCAAGCCCAACGCAGCCTTTGCGGAAGCGAACACGCGTGCATGCCTCATGTGCGCCTGTTCAGCCTAGTGCCTTAACACCAGCCGCTCTCAGCCAAGAGCCTAACACACCAGAAGGACTGAAAATAACTCTGCTGCGGAGCTGGTTATTTCTCGCAGCAAGCACGGCGGTTGCAACATCTTCCCCTGAGGTGCTACCAGCAAAGCCAAGCAGAACTTGCCTGCGAGAGCCCTAATCCTTGACCCAACCACCGCTAGCGTAGGCGGACAAAACAAACAGGCAGGCGAAGCAACAGAAATGACTGTGCAATACTTAACATGCAGGGATTTCAGCTCCCTAACCGCCTGAAACGTTTCAAACGGCAGTAAGCAGGGAGTATCAAAACAGAGTTGACTTTTAAGGAAGGACCTGAAGGACAAATTCGTCGGTCTGCAGAGTTTACACATTGCTAACAGAAGAATTTACCTAAAGTTGCTTTCTGACGCGAGATAATGATTCTTT